GTGTTGAAACAAGCTTATTCTGCCTTCTGATACTAATTTATATATATATATATACATATATGTTATATGTATATATGTATATGTAAATATATAAAGTGAATATATAAAGTAAAGTCAGTTTGAAGGATATGTATAAATTATTTCAGGTCAGAAGGACAGGAAGCAGAAAATTAAAATTTTTGCTTCCCAAAAACTGTAAAAGTAAAAGTAAAAGAAAATATTTAATAAAATCATCAAATTCAACACATCAGGAAATTAAAAATGAATTGGAAATAATAAATTTTGCTTTGCATGATAGTAGAAATATTTACTTTGGAAAAAACTTGCTAAATTTAAAATATTAATCCTGTGAAAAATAGCCCAATGGCAAATATTTTAAGCCAAAAAAGTGGGTACCACCTTTTCATTATATTAAATAGGTACATTAATAAATACATTACTAATATATTTTATTAATATACATTACTAAATATAATCTTGAATTATATTAATATACATTACATACATTATTAATACACATTATTAAATAAAATCACAGATTATATTTATTATCCATTAAATGCATTAATAAAATACATTATTAAATATAATATCAGATAATATTTAATGATTATTAATCATAATAATTTTCTTTAACACCAGCAGCTTATGGGTCCCACACACGAGGCAGGGACGGAACAGCTGCAGACTGCATGACATTGAATGATTGAAGAGTGTAGCAGCTGAATTATTTCTGTCATTTATTTATACATAGAATAGAATAGAAATGTTGGCATTAAAGAAATACTGAAAGAGGCCCGTGGCCTGTTGCCAATTCTTGAACTCTTCGTGATTTGATTCACAAGGGATCCGGCCTTCGTAACATGTTTCCAGTCCTAAACACCTAAATTATTATTAGGTACCTTGAGTTATTAACACTTGAGTTTGTACATGTTTCCAGTCCTAAACACATAAGTTATTATTACAAATGCACTATGTCTCTTAATATATGTACAGATTAGATTAATCCTAAAATAAATAAATATACAGTTGACTGAGTTGAGTAAACCACTAGAGAAAGATTTCCATGCACAATTTGTTAGCAAAGTTAAAGTTTTTGAGTAATTCAAATGCCAAAAACATTTTTCACATGATTATATGATATATATCAGTGCAAATTTTCATACTCCATATGAGTGACATGACCATATACAAACAACAATGATAAAAAAATATTGTACTTGTGTAAATTCAACTTATGTGAGTAATAGATTTACATTTATTTCACCAGGCAGCTGATGTAACCTGGTAAAACATGAATGAAAGTAATTCAATTATTTGTTGCTTTAAGCAAATACATTATTAAATGTAATCTCAGATAATATTTGACGATTATTAATCATCCCCCCATGTAATTATTGACCATGAAAAGGTACAATAGTAAAGTCGGTCTTCAATTACAAACACAACACTGCACAGCGCTAGCCAGCGGTCACAGCATCTCAGGTTCACGAACTTCAACGCTGCGCGCATACTTACCTTCAAATACGGAGTCAGGAGGTTACTTGCAGTCAAATACAATGTATTCACTGCATGAAAGTTTATATACGTGACGGCACTTTTTATATTTAATGTATATCACCGTAAATCACAAACGGTAGCGACAACAACAAGCTGCGACCACAGAGTTTTCCACAGGGAACGCGTTCAACGTACCCCCGTTCACCATTACAGATTTCACTTCTATTCAAACATTAAAACTCGCTTTAAGAAGGCACGCGTCGCAACAATTTGTAAATCTATATCACAAACGAGAGGTTCGTACATAGTTTATCATACTTGAATCAAAATCTAGATGTTAGAGGATGGAATGGCTATGAAGGACGGACTAAACTTTACGCACACCTACCCGCGCCAGAGTTTGATGGACACTGATGTTGTCTACCCGCTGTAACCCGCTCCCTGGAATTCCTAACTCTGGATACCGCACACAAAACCGACGCTTTTTACACATACCTTCTTTAATGCCATGCATTAAGTACACTCATGGTTTTATATAGTATTACATTTCCCATTACCTCATGTATAAATAACAATCTGTCATTTAAGACAGAAGATTTAGCGTATACTATTAATGTAGGCCGTGAGAAACGAAGATAAATCTTCGGCGTTTGTATTTTATTCAGAGCGTCAGCAGGAAGATGAAGTCGAGCAACAGCGGCAGAAGAAAAAAAGATTGGCGCTTGCACACCACAAGTGCAGCTTGTAACTGGACCCAACATGGCACCGCCATAGCTGCTTAATTTCGTGGATAAATGAAACCCAGAGAATTATTTCGATGTATAATACAAAATCTATGTAGTGTCCGCGCAAAACATATTTGTTAGAACATTTTTTACCTGTTTATGGAATGCATTTTTATCGTTATAAACCACATTTGAATACACTATTTTCCTTATAATTCCGCTAAATGCTTATTTCTACGAGACAAAGGTCATGTAAAACGGTTACATTTACAACTCAAGTGTAAAATCAGCAGTATTTTATTCAGCATTTTTTTAATGAGATGGCGTCCCGCGTTCACGCAGGGGCGGCGTTTACGTGACCCGCTGTGACGGTAATGAACGCGTTACGTGAATGTGTCACGGAGTTCCACTTGTCCGTATGCGTGAACACAATTCGAGTCATAAAATAGCAAGGCAAACACAATTTGAGAAGAAACAAACAATAAATAAAACGAACATAAACAACGATTCGTTAGAGTTACGGAATTATCGTCATGAATTCGTATAATGATGGCAACGATGTATAAAGTGAACATTACCATACGGACTCGGGCATTTCTGGGAACCAAAGCGGTCGGAAAATTGAATATCGTTATAATATATCAGTGGAATTACATAATTCGTCATTAGCATATTTCAGATTTGAAAGATAAAATTTAAGAGGAATAAATAAGAACTACTTAATAAAAGAATAATGTATGAGATGTTTCACATAAACTGTGAATCATCGTACATCTGGTCAGGACTAGGGCACATTTATTGTTCGTAATGCTATTCTAACCTGAGTTATTATATAAAGGTTTTGTTCACAGTATCTCCATCCTTGGTCAACGTACACAATATTCTTACAATATGAGACCCATAACATTATATATTGACACTACATATTGATGATATCGTACAACTATGTACATTGTACACGTCCCAACCTAACGCTGCCTAACTCCAACAACTCCCAGCCTAGCGATGCCTAACCCCAACACCACATACATTACACAATACATATTTAACATGCAATGGCCGCAACTAGGGGCCCACTGGCCGCCACTTGGAGCCCAATGACCGCCATTAGAAATCCACTGGCCGCCACTAGGAGCCCACTGGCGGACAGTAGGCGCTAGAAGCCAAGTGGCGGCTTACTAGCCGTCACTAAGAGCCCAATGGCCGCCACTGGGAGCCCAATGGCCGCCATTAGGAGCCTACTGGCCGTCACTAGGAGCCGAGCCGCACGCGCAGAGCGATGTAGTCCACAAGGAAAGCAACCGCGAAGAAGATCGCTGCCAGAAAGTTGGCTGTGCGCGCGCGCAACAACGCCTCTTGCGCCAATTTTTTTTCGCGTATGTGGTCCGGTAACCTGGTGGGGTTGTGGCGGTCAGGACGCATGGTTGTGGCGTCGAACACCACCGTGTCAGGACCTGAGAAGTGGGTTGTGGTTGTGGCAGGACTAATGTCAATACTGACGCTAGTTTCGGTGCTGACAGTTGTGGGAGTGGCGGTGTTTGGCAACTGAGCGGGTGGCGGTGTTGCCACATCACCGGACGTGTCTTCATTACGTAGGGTGTTGTACGTGCCTACAACCTGATAAAAACGTGTTAATGTTAACGTTTATTCAGTTTTAACTTCTATAAAACATATATTGTCCACTTTTCGTGCTAATTTTCATTAAAAAATATTAAATGGATTATACATAGTAATTTTTTTCTTCGTGACGAATGGTTGTAAAAATGATGGATATTTTCTCGTCATTTACATAAACTAATTTTCGGTGCCAGCTATCAAATAGTAAGAATTTTTTAGCGAAGTTCGTTGCAACGCATAAGATGCTGGGACACACATTTCAAATAGTGACATACTTTCTTACTCACAGCACGAGTAGTGAAGGGACTTTTACGCCCTTTTGTTGGGCCAAACTTTGTCAGAATGACCCACCCACACACCGATACCCTTTTTGTTGGTCCAAACTGGGTCAGGATGACCCACCCACACACCTATTCATCCTTTTAGCAAGCCAACTGGGTCAGGATGACCCACCCACACACCGAAACGCCTTTTTGTTGGCCAAACTGGGTCAGAATGACCCACATAAGAGTAAAACAAGGATAGATACTTGGGAAAGTCACATTTTTGAGATCGTACCTTCCTGGAGCCGCAGAGGCGCTGCAAGGTGCTGCAGCAGGAGGTGCTGCCCTCGTACAGGTGCTGCAGCCACACGCAGCACCTGTCTCTTATACACATCTAGATGTGTATAANTAAGTGAACGTAAGTACTTACGCTCTATTTTCTTGTCTATGATTTGATGATTTTGCTTGAAAGGCCGTCAATGATTGGCTGATGAACTTACGATCTCTTAACTTTTTTGAAAGTATCGGCCCAGGGTAGGAGTTTTCAATTGTAACTGAATTAAAATTTACACAGTTTTTGTATAGAACACTTGGCGGTTCGTATGAATTAAATTGAAATTTGCAAAGATTTTGAATCAGTATCCCCAAGAAACACAATCGTGACACATCGTAACACATCGTAACACATCGTAACACATCGTAACACATCGTAACACATCGTAACAATCGTAACACATCTTAACAAATCGTAACACATCGTAACACATCTTAACACATCGTAACACATCTTAACACATCTTAACACATCGTAACACATCTTAACACATCGTAACACATCGTCACACACCCATCATGGACGTATTAATGTAAGCAGCGTGTTGGCTGGCGCGGCGGGTGACGGTGAAGACGATGGTGAGGTCGATGTGGGTGTTGCGGGCACCCACCACACCCACCACCTCCCACTGGGGGCCCTGGTGCAGCTCCCCCATCACCACCTGCGGGGGGGAGACCCAAACCTCAACTCTGGGGGCTTTAGGAGAGGATCTTCACATCTCGCTGGGCTCGAACCCCACAATTCGCGACTAAATTTCCCTTGAATAAATATGTCATTTTGTTTCCTTTTTTGAAAAAAAACTGATGATCTTTAGAGATCAGCAACTCTACAAATTGGATACAACCAGTTACTGAAAATGTATCCTTGTAATAGTTTAAAAACTGGACTTATATATATATAATATATAATTAATAAATTTNGGTGTCCCCCATGAGGACCAGGTCACCCCTCACCCCGCCGGTGTCCCCCATGAGGACCAGGTCACCCCTCACCCCGCCGGTGTCCCCCATGAGGACCAGGTCACCCCTCACCCCGCCGGTGTCCCCCATGAGGACCAGGTCACCCCTCACCCCGCCGGTGTCCCCCATGAGGACCAGGTCACCCCTCACCCCGCCGGTGTCCCCCATGAGGACCAGGTCACCCCTCACCCCGCCGGTGTCCCCCATGAGGACCAGGTCACCCCTCACCCCGCCGGTGTCCCCCATGAGGACCAGGTCACCCCTCACCCCGCCGGTGTCCCCCATGAGGACCAGGTCACCCCTCACCCCGCCGGTGTCCCCCATGAGGACCAGGTCACCCCTCACCCCGCCGGTGTCCCCCATGAGGACCAGGTCACCCCTCACCCCGCCGGTGTCCCCCATGAGGACCAGGTCACCCCTCACCCCGCCGGTGTCCCCCATGAGGACCAGGTCACCCCTCACCCCGCCGGTGTCCCCCATGAGGACCAGGTCACCCCTCACCCCGCCGGTGTCCCCCATGAGGACCAGGTCACCCCTCACCCCGCCAGTGTCCCCCATGAGGACCAGGTCACCCCTGCACCCCTCACCCCGCTAGTGTTCTTCATTAGGACCAGGTCACCCCTGCACCCCTCACCCCGCTATTGTTCCCCATGAGGACCAGGTCTAGCTGGGCCCCGTAGTGTGCCCAGCTGCCCAGGCTGACTGTACAGTTGTGGGTGTCTCTGGGCCACAGCGCCAGGTCCAGCGCACAGGGCACCTGCCCAGTGAATATTTCTTCAGTTTTTTTGTAACAAATTAACTAAATTTATTATAATTATAATAATGATTTTATAATAACAATTTTAATAATTATAATAACAATATTTATAATAATTATAATAACAATATTTATAATAATTATACTAAAAAAATTAAATTATATAAATTAACTAAATTTATATATATTAACTACTTAATTAACTTGAACTAATTAAATAATAAACTAATTAACTACTAATTTTAAATAAATAATAAATCAACTAATTTAAATATATTACAATTGATGAAATAAAATTAATTTATTTGATTAATTATTTAAAATAAATTTAGTGCATTCAATTTATTAATTAAATTTACATCCTATACACAATTTAAATTACAAAATATCATGAAATATTTTTTTAATATTATTAAAATAATAGTGATCATTACTGAATTTAATTTTTAGCTATCACCCGTCACTATCACCCGTCACTAATAATGATCACCTTGAAGTATGAAGGAGGGAACCACATGACTGTACCGTCGCTCTTGACCAGCAGGGGCGCCGCCCCCCACGTGGGGGCCACGTCCCCCCCAACCCTGGGGGCAGAAAGGGGGGTGTACAGGGGAGATGTATACAATAGGGGATATATAC